CAAGACCCTGTTCAAATGTGACCACCTCTGTGAAGCTTCTCTGACTTGCAGACTTGGGCTCTCTCATTATCCTGCAACAAGTTAATAGCTCTCAGAATGCTCTCAATGTTCAATGTTAATAGCTCTCAATGCTCTCCCCTGTGGGCCCTCCTGGGCACAAAAGACTTTCTGTGTCCCCCATTTCTTGTTTGTAGGAAATAGGCTTCATTCAGCCTCCTTGACCTTCCCTGAGTTCCAAAGGGCAGATTCAAACAGTTTCTAATTAGGGAAGGGAGGGGATGCAGAAATAAGGGAGGAGAAATCAAGAAACAATGGTGCAGCCTTGGGGCAGGGTCCTGGTTCTTGCTCAAGGGTCCTGGTTCTTGCTCAAGGACCATCTTTGAATTCTGTAGGAACTATGGCCCCCACCCAGGTGGAGGATAGTAGCTTCAGGTTGAGCATAAGATTCCGAGGGCTTCCCTGGTGGCGCAGTGGTTGAGAGGCCACCTGCCGATGCAGGGGACACGGGTTCGTGCCCTAGTCCGGGAAGATCCCACATGCCTTGGAGAGGCTGGGCCCGTGAGCCATGGCCGCTGGGCCTCAGCGTCTGGAGCCTGTGCTCCACAACGGAAGAGTACACAGCAGTGAGAGGCCTGCGTACTGCAAAAAGAAAACAAAAAAAGATTCCTAGAACACCACCCTGTTACCTCACTACTAATCAATCAGCAGAAAGTCACATACCCTGTAGTCCTCAGCCCAAATTTTGCCTATAAAATCTCCTTCCCCAAAACCATCAGGGAGTTTGGGGTTTGGGGGGGCATGAGCCACCCATTCTCCTTACTTGGCCCTACAATAAATCTTTCTCTGCTCCAAACTCCAATGTTTCGGTCTGTTTGGCCTCACTGTGCATTGGTCACACAAACTTGTGTTCAGTAACATTTTCTTATAATTATCTACCCAGGGGGTAACACACATCCCACCCCACCCCATTCCTGCAAAAAAAGGTTCCTCAAAGTCAAGAATTTTGGGAAGAAGCATGATTAAATCCATTAGTTTTGAAGTTAAATTACTTTGATTCAAACCTCATCTCCACCACAATTCCTTCTAGTTATTTGACCTATTCAAACTTTGCAAGTCCCATGTTACCCATTGGAAAGAACAGAATAATAGTGTCTACTTACGGGATTGTTGTGAAGATTAAATGAGATAATACATGAAAAGTAGCTAGCAGAGGACTCATTAAATATGAGCTATTACTATTTATCTTTGTTTCCTAATATTTAATATGGTGGTTGGTTTAGAGTAGGCGTTACAAAAGCTAGCATTGCTAGGTAGCTAGTCTCACATTTATCTTACTTTTAAACACATAAGCCATTTTAAGGCAGCAATTTTGTTACCGGAAAACTGGGTTTGCCTCTTGGTGGGTGTCTAGCTGAAAGACACAACCAAGCCAAAGATCCAGAGAAGGCAGGATTTCTTACTTGCAGCAAGTAAGGATAACACCAGGGATCTTTCCCAAAACAGTATCTCTCCGAACAGGAAAATTGGGGAAGTTTTAAGCTAAGGTACATGCATATTCATGAGGGGGCTTGAGCAGAAAATTCAGCACAGAATTGGGGCAAAGGTCGACAGAGTCAAAGTTTTTGTTGGTTGAAGGCAGGAGGGTCACAAAAGGTCAACATCAAACCTCAGGTTACAGTTGAGCAAAACAGCTCAAGAAAGTGCTTCAGGCTAATCTTTATCATTGAAACAGAACTGGGAGTCTTTATGACAGATGTATTATCTTTGCTATTGTTACTTCTCTTATCTGATAATATTTTTTTGTTCTTTTGTTCCATTAAGATCATTATTACTGAGACCTGTTCAAGGGCAAGCATTGTGGCCAGGTATGGTCTAAGTTCTTTAAGTTGTTTCTCATTCTATTTCATTTATATCCATCAAAAACCTCCTTAATCTTCACATGATTCTAAAGACAAAGTAATGCCAAATTTGTTGTGAAGCCCTTTTCTTTTCTTGTTTGTTTGTTTTCCTATCTGTATTCTTGTTTTATTTTCACCATACTATAGTATGAGTAGGGACCAAATTCAAGGCATTGGTTACTTGATAGAGTTTAAAATTCAGAAAAATATGCTTTAAGAAAGTCAATACTTTGTGTTCCATTACAGAAACCAAATTAACATAAGCAATATTCAATATTATTGATGAAGAATAAAGAAAGTCTCTTTATACTCTGAAAAAGTTGATAAAATTTGTTTAGAGAGTAGAGTTAATGGGGATTGCAGGAAGGGAGTGGTTTTATTTTACTGAGTACTTTCCTGAGGCAAGACAGAAAAAGAAACAATACGCAATTCCAGATGAAGAGTTTATTTTTAATGAATTTGAAAACATGTCACAGCTCTATGTCTCCAGGGTTTTTCTCCCATTAGCTCTTACTTACAGAGCAGATATAAAATAGAATTTATAATTCACCATAAAATATATATAATTAAAAGAAGCTCTTCAATGTAATGTATATTCAGAAAAGCATTTCTAATTTTTTCCCTGGAGATAAATGTCATCATAAAAATACAAGCAAAAGTTTCCTTTCAAAATAATGTTCAGAACAGAAACGGACTCACAGACTTAGAGATTAGAGAATGAACTTATGGTTGCAGGGGGGTGGGGGGGAGGGAAGGGATAGTTAGGGAGTTGATTGACATGTACACACAACTATATTTAAAAAGGATAACCAACAAGGACCTACTGTATAGCACAGGGAACTCTGCTCAATGTTATGTGGCAGCCTGGATGGGAGAGGAGTCTGGGGGAGAAAGGATACATGTATATGTATGGCTGAGTCACTTGGCTGTGCACCTGAAACTATCACAACATTGTTCATTGGCTATACTCCAATATAAAATAAAAAGTTTAAAAAAATAAAAACAAAACAAAATAATGTTCAGGAAGTATTGCATTATCTCAAATTGTTATTTCCAATCTTGTTCCTTACAATACTTTTTAAAATAAAGGAGAAATTTCTATTTTCTCCTCAATAGATATTTGTCCTTGTAGACAATATGTTGTTAATGAATTTATTTTATATTAATACAACTCATTAAAAACTAATGTAGGACTTCCCTGGTGGAGCAGTGGTTAAGAATCTGCCCGCCAATGCAGGTGACATGGGTTCAATCCCTGGTCCAGGAAGATCCCACATGCCGCGGAGCAACTAAGCCGATGTGCCACAACTACTGAGCCTGTGCTCTAGAGCACGTGTGCCACACTACTGAAGCCTGTGCTCCTAGAGCCTGGGCTCCACAACAAGAGAAGCCAGCACAATGAGAAGCCCACGCACTGCAAAGAAGAGTAGCCCCCACTCGCCACAACTAGAGAAAGCCCGCGTGCAGCAATGAAGACCCAACGCAGCCAAAAATAAATTAATTTAAAAATATTTAAAAAAAAACTACCGTAAAAGTTGTTATTCTAAATTGTTAAATGGACCAGTCTGTATATTTAGGGATGGAAAAAATTCTGGAAATCCACTTGTTTACTTTCTTTTCCAATTTTCCCTGTAACATATCTTCTTTGTTTATAGCATTATTTTAAATGACAATTTTTAAACATTTAACCAACATAATGGTTATGAATAAATGATTTAATCTTAGTTGGAGGCCCTAGGATGCAAAATGACATGGATTTTTATAAAGTTATTACTGGGTCTCCTGCACAATGAATAAACAATTGGCATTCACTGTAGATACATAGTCCTAAGATGTCCTGCCCTTACATCCTTTTGAAAAGATGTTCAATTTCACTTCAATTTTAGTTAGGCCAATTGTGGCCTAAATGTCAAGGCAGATGGAACAAAACAGTGACATATTCTGTATACAGGCAATATTATAGTTTCACACAGTTTTGAGCCAATGCCAAGACTTTTGTAATACAGAAAAGAAATAGTAGCAACATCTTGAAATTTTTCTACAGTATTTTTCTTAGCATTAAAACAGTTCAACTGAATCATAGAAAGTATATTCTAAGAAGAGTATACTGTTTTTCTCAGCCATACTTATATTAGAATGAATGTCCTTAAATTTCAAGGCCAGAAGTGGAATCAGCTGCTAAGGTTGTCTAAACTAAGGGATGTGCAACATGTAATGATAAACTTCACAGCTCGTTATTGTAATAATTGTGAATGCTATTTGAAGCAGGTACCTATCCTCAAACTGCCCTGGATAAGACTTGTTAAATCTATTAGTATTTCCATTATTCACTTTAAATTGACGTAAAATGAGATTCAATTTTTTTTAATTGAATTAGTACAAACAGTAAGGAAATAAAAAATCCTGGTGACAACAGACCCCATGTATTTTAGTACTCTGTGCTGACCAGAGTACTAAAACCAGAAAGATAGAATGAATTTTTTTTTTAAATAGCAGGACTAAAATAATAAATAAATAAATAAAATAGCAGGACTAGAAGGATCATTTTACAGGTCTCCCTGTAAATTTACTTTCAAGGATATTCTGCATCAGGCCTTAAAACACTTCCAAACTCCTACACATAATATTTAAATAAGGAAAAATAACATAGAACGAAGCAAAAGAGAAACTCTGGGTAAGCAGGTAATTTAAAGGTTGAATACACAGATATACAGCCGCACCAATATGTCTCCGTGTTATCAAAATTTAAGAGTAAAGAACAGAGAGACTGTAGGCCGGAGAGGCGAAGGAAAGGAAGTGAAAGAACTGGATACTCCGAAAGTGAAGTAAAAAAAAGGAAAGCTGAGGGACGAGATGGGAAGGGGCGGAGATTTTAAGGGGGAAGAAACGAGGACAGAGGAGGAGGAAGCGGGATAAGTTCGCACCTAGAGGGTGTGAGCGGGGGACAGGTGTGCCAGGCGACCCCACCAGGCCCCGCCCCATCCCGGCGCCCCTCCCCCTTTCCAGGCCCCGCCAGGCCCCGCCTCATCAGGTGCCTCCCAATCCTGCCCAGTCCCGCCTTACCGGCGGCTGCCGCCGCATCAGGTGACAGCCCGGAAGCAGCGGAAGCGGATGAGGGAAGCTCGGCTGCGGCCCGGGGGGGGCGGTGCAGAGCTGCAGGAGCCTCGGCCTCCTCCTCGGTCCCTGCGAGGCTCTCATGCGACGCCCTCGCTGACACCTGAAATCCACTGCTCGCCTCCTCCTGGGGGTCACGGGGTTGCTCGGCTTGCCGCCCTCGGCGGTTGCAGTCATCGTCTTGCGGGCCTGCGGCGGTCGCCCATGGAGAAAAACGGGCGCGGCGGCGATAGCGCCCCCCGTGGGCCCGTATTGCACATCGCGGTGGTCGGCTTTCATCACAAGAAGGGCTGCCAGGTGAGGAAGGGGCCTGTGCCCGCCCCCGGCCGTTCGGGCGTTCGCGCGCCGCCGGCACCCAAGCTGTTCCGCTCTGCTTAGACCTCCCTCTGGTGCCCTCGGCTTCGCCTCTGAACTTGATTCCTCTCTCCAGCTCCTCGCACTCACCCCACCTGAAGCCCACCCCCCACGCTCCCGTTTTTCTCCTGCCCCTGAAAATTGTATCTTGAGCAGCTGAGGAGCTATGTGTCGGTATGCTGGGGCTGGTAGGTATTTAGGTTCTTTGGTGGGGTGGGAGGAAGGAATCGAAGGTCGGCCCACTCTCTTCCCCATCCAGTTCTGCCTCCGCTGACTTTCTGGGTGTCCACCTATAATGGGATCCTTTAGAAAAATTCAGCACTTGGGCTGCGTTTTCGAGGTAATGAGCTCTGGGACTCCACACGAGTGAAGCACACGCGGCGCCGTGGGGAAATCAACTTCCTTTGTTTATCTGTGGAAGCCCTAGAACCCCTGTTAGGCTGGTGTACTGACTCCACCCCCCACCCTTCCCATTCGGCCTTGGTTTTGCTGTTTAGTTTTGTCCAGATCTTGCTTTTTGGTGAGAGATCGACCTCTCCAGCTCAACTGCAGTGAGAGGAACTGTATTTACCGAGCAAAGAAACGTGCAAATGTAAAGTCATTTTTAAGCTTCTTCACTGAAATGGTGAACGGGAACAATAGAACATTTGCCGTCTATGTATGGAAGGCAAGGGAACAAAGATAGAAACAGGATTATTTAATGAGAGCAAACGCTGGAAGGCAGTGATGTCATAATGTGCTAGTGAACGGTAAATTGAAATTCTTAAAGTATTAAAAATACTGATTGCTACCCACTAGGTAATGTAGCATTTTGTTTCTTGCATTTAACAGAAAATGTAACATTTTAGAAGACCTTTATTGGCAAAATTTAAGTTCGTTAGAGGATGGTAACAGAAAACTGATGGCGTGAAAAAATAGTTATGTTTGTATGTGTTTTCGTTGCCGTGTGTGGGATCTAGTTCCCGGTTTAACTTTAAAATATATCATATTCCTTGTCCCTCAGGTAAAAATGGCATAGAAAGATACCAAGGAGGAAGTGGCATTATTCAGTATGGTATTTTAAAACATTCAAAGCAGCAGCAGTAGAATATAAGTTTTTAAAATGTGGCCCTCACAGCAGAAACTAACACAACATTGTAAAGCAATTATACTCCAATAAAAATGAATTTTAAAAAATTTAAAAAACTGTTTCCCTATATTTAGAGGTATGAAAATAGATATTTGAGATAATTGTACCATGGCATGTAAACACAGTGTTCATCATCATTAGATTTTTAATACTTTAAAACTTCACATCTTTGATGTTGTCTTTTATAACTTACCTTGGATATGGGCGAAGTAACTGAAACTTGGAGGAAGTAAAATGATCTTACTGAAGTCACGCTGGAGTCAGAATTGCCTTCAGCTGAGCCCCGTGGCATTTAGGAGTCTTTTACAGTAAAGTAAGAACTGGGGCCCACTTCACAACCAAACTGAATGGAACTTTTAATGACAAAACAAGGAAATATTGGTAGGAAATAGAATAAAATCTTTTAATCGTTGCTGTCATCTAAAGTCAAGGTTAATTATTATGTGTTCTACGTGTTTTATTGGTAAAAGTAGTATAATTTATGTTTCCAGAAAGGAAAAATGATTTATGGGGAAAAAATGTAATGCTGCTTAGGCATTAAAGAGTACTGAACAACAGATTGTAAGATGAAGCAGAACTCGGGGGTGAAATAGCACCCTGGGTATGCCCTTTCTCTGGATTTGTCTGCCTTTTGGTTTCAGCATTGAAATTGATTTTTTTTTTTTTTTTGACCGTGCTGCATGGCTTGCAGGATCTTAGTTCCCCAACCAGGGTTTGAACCCAGGCCCTGACAGTGAAAGTCCTAAGCACTGGACCACCAGGGAATTCCCGGTGACTGGTTTTGTAAAATGGACGTTGTGCTGGGTGGGAGTCAGAAGACCTGGATGATGTCCTGGCTTCACGGCTCTGTGACCTCCAGCAAGTCCAAATTGCTTAATTTTTCCTGTACCTCATTTTCCTCTACCAGATTTCGTCATGAGAATTTTAGACCTGTCAGGGATCCTTAGAGGTCATCTACTCTACCTCCCTTAAATTTACAGATGAGTAAACTGAAACCCAGAAAGGTTAAGTGACTGAAACATACTTACACAGCTAGTGGTAAAAGATTTTATTCAGAAAAGCAATTGCAACATTGAAAAAGAGACCTCAGTATAGAGCTGGACTCCGAAAATAACAAGGAAAAGTGAGAATTTATAGCCAGGAAGCAGAGTGGGGGCCAGTGGATGGAAAGAAAATTAGTACCTCAGGGGTAACAGGGGTTTCTAGCTAAACCGGTCTAAGAGGATTCTTGCTAAAATTGGACAATATGGAGGTGAACCCAGAAGCCCAGAAGTCAGGGCCTAATTGAGAAGAGAGTTCAGAGGAGCCTGACTAAAGTTTGGTTAAGGAGAGCCTCTTTGTCAGCACTAACATTAAAGCCCAGATGTCCCTAGTCTTCATAACTGCATCTCTTTTAGTAGCACTTTAGGTTGTAGGCTTTTAGTAGAGTGGAAAAAATACATGCCTTATATATATATTTTTGTAATCCACAAGGTGCTTCAGGGAGACTAAGGCAATTATTTTTGAATACATACGCTTGTTGAGTGTCTGCTCACCTGGGTTGTTGATAGAATTGAAGAGAATGCAAAGGGCTCTGCCACAATTCAATGAAAGATGATTTGGCTGTGCCTGGTCTTAGTTGTGGTGCACGGGATTTTCGTTGCTGTGTGTGGGATCTAGTTCCCTGACCAGGGATTGAACCCGGGCCCCCTGTATTGGGAGCGTGGAGTCTTAACCACTGGACCACCAGGAAAGTCGCAGGGTTATTTTCTTATTGCTGGCTGAAAGCAGCTTTTGAAAATTATACTTACCTCACTTCGCGCTCGCAATGCAGAGGGCCCAGGTTCGATCCCTGGTCGGAGAGCAAGATCCCACGTGCATGCCGCAACGAAGATCCAGCGTGCTGCAACTCAGACCATTCCCAGCCTAAATAAATACATACGTACATACATACATACATAAATATTTAAAATTATAATTACATCTCATAGCAGAAAATGAAGAGCTAAGAACCTGGTTTTGCGAATCAAACAAGAATTTGTTAGAATTTGTCAAAGTCAAAATGTAGGTGATTTTTAGATAGAACTAGTGTGTATTCTGTAGCTTTTGCAAGACTCAAACACTTATAATTTTAGTAGAACTATTACTATTTCTCAGAGAAACATTTTGGCTTACTAGTAATCTGGTTTCTGTTACTCCTCTAATGGAGGTTAGCTGGAGAGATGACACTGATTTCTCGACTCTAAAGAGAGTTAAGGTTGGTGAGTTGATAATCTGAAAAAACTTTGAAACCCTCTATGGTGGTAGTCAGGTTGTGTCAGGGGTCTGCTAACATAGCCACTCCACTCAGCCAACAGAGCAAATGAATGAAAGGCTCTCACACTGAGTTGATCGATAAAATTGACACGTCAATGCAGTGAAAAACAAACTTTTGCTGGAGACATAATTTATATAAATTCATGGAAGTTCATCCAGCTGGAATAGGATGTTCAGTTAATGTATACTAGTACAGGAAAAGATGGGTAAATAGTTTGTTCATCTACATTTCTCATTTTTGGTTGCCCTACTTTCTCCCTTTTTTGTCTTAGTTTTTCTAAAATATCAAAGTGTACTAAAAATTCCAGTATATGTCGTATTAGTTCTTAAAGGATGTCCTTAACTTCTGCAAATGATTTTGGATGACCTACAACTCTTTTTTTTTTTAATTTTTATTGGAGTATAGTTGATTTACAGTGTTGTGTTAGTTTCAGGTGTACAACAGAGTGAATCAGTTATACATTTACATATATCCACTCTTTTTTAGATTCTTTTCCCATATAGGCCATTACAGAGTATTGAGTACAGTTCCCCGTGCTATACAGTAGGTCCTCTTTTTTTAATATAGTATTGTGTATATGTCAATCCCAGTCTCCCAGTCTATCCACCACCACCCCCCACTCACTGCCGCACGCTTTCCCCCCGGTAACTAAGTTTGTTTTCTACATCTGTGACTATTTCTGTTTTGTAAATAAGTTCATTTGTACCATTTTTTTAGATTCCACATATAAGTGATATCATAAGGTATTTGTCTTTGACTTACTTCACTCAGTATGACAATTTCTAGGTCCATCCATGTTGCGGCAAGTGGGAATATTTCGTTCTTTTTTATGGCTGAGTAATATTCCATTGTATATATGTGCCACATCTTCTTTATCCATTCCTCTGTTGATAGACATTTAGGTTGCTTCCATGTCCTGGCTATTGTACATAGTGCAGTGGACATTGTGGTGCATGTGTCCAACTCTGCTTTCTTAACTCTTCAAAATCCAAATATATTTGATGTTCTGTAAAGTACATGCATCAAGTCTTAGGCAGAAGGACTGTTCTAGAGACTGCCATTCTTTGTTAATCAGTAGTGTATCAGGTGTTTCAGACTTTCTAATTATGTAAGGTTTCCCTCAGGATGGATTAATCAGCTCCCTTCTCCACCATTAAGATTTTACTTCCAGGTGTAAAGGATTAAAAGTATATGGCTCATTGAATTGTAACTGACTTCAGATTGTTTTAGGTGGTTTGAGGGTGCTTTGTTAGACTGCTCTTCCAAGTACTCAAAATGCAGCAGGTCATGTTGATCACCAGTTCATTCCACACACTGAGATTATTCGTAGAGAAGATTCCCATACTTGGTTGTACTTTGTAATATTTAGATTCAAGTGAGCCGAAGTAAAACCTTTGCTTAAAAAAGTAATTCCTGGGATTTCCCTGCTGGCGCAGTGGTTAAGAATCCGCCTGCCAGTGCAGGGGACACGGGTTTGAGCCCTGGTCAAGGAAGATCCCTCATGCCACAGAGCAACTA